TATTTCTTACTAGTAAGCAGAGATATTAAGCTCAAAATTTGTAGCTACGTTACAAGTTACAGACTATGAAAAAATGTTTGCTATTTGCAATGCTAAAAAAAATTAAGTCAAATTGGAAATACTCGTCTAGCATGATGAATTATTCGTTCTAACTGAATGTTTGAACATTGATAGACTCACGTTATAGATACACGTGGAAGATATGGAAAGTCTAAATGGGATTGTGTTGCAACTGAATGTGCTTATAAAGGGTGCCCATGATGCGAAACAACTTAATGTTAGCATTGACTGTCCCCAATTCAAGCCAGCATCAATAACGATTAACGGGACTAAGAACTACCGATTAATCGACAAAATATGACCAATCAGTTTATCGGCAAGAATAGAAGCCAATAAAAATAAAATCTTACTAAACCATCCACTTCTATGTTATTCTTATTCGTGGCTGGTCCAATGAATATACATTTATATCAGAAAATCGCACAAACTCGTAATCCGTAAACTCAATGAAAATAATTTGCAAACTGTCCATCATCTTGGCAATCTTGAAGTACAAGAAGTTACACTTTCATCACACCAGTTCCATCTTATCAATCACGAGAAGAATTGTCTTTTGCATTCAAAACCATGTCTCTGCCAAATACATACTTAAACAAACACATTTTATCAATTCGAAGCAAAATCTGATATCCAAATACATGGAAAGTAAAACATGAACACTTAAATAAATAAAAGTTACTCTGAAAACGAAAGAAAAATCATTGATTTATGCATAAATACTATGAAAATAATAAGCTACCGGGAATGAACGAGTTTACTTCTCAAAGAAAAGACATTAAATCCTACAATGAGGTCAGTCTGCACCGTGTAACTAAAATTGAGTTTTTTTTTACCCAAAAATTGTGGAGATTCGATAAATAGCTAGCGAAGAGGAGTGGAAATGATTTCATTTCAAAGTCAACTTTTGCACAGTATCTCCCAAAAACAACCAACTTGTGGAGACAATGAAAAATTAATGACAATGTTCCATACCCCTTGAAGACTGACAGGTAAAAAAATATTTTAACAGAAAAACAATTCTGCATGATAAACAGTAATATTGGATTCATTCACTGCATAAAAGCAACATAATATTTTTTTTTTCCGCGTACCATGATGTGGATAGCTTTTCTAAGACAGCAATTGAAGAACGTGTGTTGTTTAGTTTGTTGATGAAAAAAAAATTCATGAGTTAGATCGTTTCCACGGCTCCAATTGTTGCCATAGTTGTCACAAACTCACTTTGTAGTCATCATGGTCACAAACTCTGAAATTTAAAATATCCTGCTTCAGTCACAAACATCCATACAAGTCATAAAATGCTATTTTGCACAAATAAATATGGAAAAACTATTTTTTTTACTAACCTGAATAAAAGATTCATTATTTAGAGCTAATATATCAATACAATCAGAAAATCATTTTCTCATAAGCAATACATTTTAAACTGAAAAAAATTACATCATCTTACATTTTAATCTAAGAAAAAAAATGAGAGATCCAGATTATCCCTCCACGTTTTAGATTTAAAAGAGCAAAAGTCTGCATTTTTCCGAAAAACACATATATCTTCTATTTATGTCAAAATAGTGATGTTTGTCGACTTTTCCCAAATTTGCTACGAAAAACTTTGAAATTCAAGATCAAAGAGAACAATTATAATATCAGCACAAACCTTCGTAATTGACCTGGCCATCTCCATCAATGTCAGCCTCCCTAATCATCTCATCGACTTCCTCATCCGTGAGTTTTTCACCAAGATTGGTCATAACATGACGTAATTCAGCAGCAGATATGAAACCATTCCCATCTTTGTCAAATACCTACAATGGAAGCAGTTAAGTTAGCAAACAATATCATAAATAAAATCTATGAACAAACACATACTGGCAGAAAATCTGCCACAAAATTTGCAAAACTCCCCGAAACATAAAAGCTTTTGATTTTTTAGTTCATATTTCACAAATTATAAACCAAAAAATCAAAAGGTCTTATGTATTGGAAAAGATTTCATACTTCATACTGAAATCAGTACGTACGCGAAATGCTTCACGGATTTCTTCTTCACTATCTGTATCCTTCATTTTTCGTGCCATCATGGTAAGAAACTCCGGAAAATCAATCGTTCCGTTACCTAAAATTTGTTTCACTTTTTTACTGCAATGGTCTTATATTATCGAAAATATGATTTAATGATCCATTTTAAAATTCGACAACAACCGACCATCAGCATCAACTTCATTGATCATATCTTGTAATTCAGCTTCAGTAGGATTTTGTCCTAACGACCGCATTACAGTACCCAATTCTTTCGTTGTAATCGTGCCATCGCCATCTTTGTCAAACAGCGAAAAAGCTTCTTTGAATTCTGAAAAATTAATAAAAACTACCATAACAAGCTCAAAAATTAATAAAAACTTTGGGTAGCTTTTGAATGACACACTATTATGATACCTTTATTTGAATAAAGTATATGAACACTTGATGCTTGTCAGTTCAAGATCAAATGATGAATCAAAAATAACAAGCTAAGCCAAGATTTTCATGTGAAAAAAATTGCAGTAAACACCAGATGATTCTGCTCTATTATTTTTCAAGTGTATGGAATAACACTGTGCTTTTAATTGAAGAAAAACAAAATAAAAAACTATAAAAGCATCATAATCTATTAACTCATTTAATGAGAGGAGAAAATGCCTAATGAGAAACTGGAGAAAATCATGTTCAGCAAGATAAATTCAAAAACCGCCATTAAAAAAAGGAAAATATTGTTAAGAGACTCTGAAAAATCGAAATTTTAGTTCTGGCAGCTTCTAGTATAGAGCTACAAGGACAAAAAATGTTAGCAGGAAGAATGTAAAATCACTTGTTCAAATACCAAAAATAAAAAAAGAATACAACATTTGTTTGCTCTTCAACAATCATGACTCACCTTCCTTTTAAAAACCCATAAAAGTTTATGTCGAATAAATGCTAAAGTTATATTTCTATTAATTTATTCCTATTCTGACAAAACTAATCTTAGTCATGGACAAGCATATAATTAACTTGTACCTGAGCAGTTTTTGTCGAATGCATTATTTGTTATGTAATACAAAGATGGCATTAAAAAAGCACTGGATATATGAGTTTATAACAGATAAAATCTTTACACCGTAGGAGTACCTTGTCCATAAATCAGGAGTGCAAATGTAACATAGAGGGATAAATACCTCATATGGTTCAACAAAAATGGATAATTTTGAAAGGCTAGATAAACAAGAAAAAGATGCCACTGGATTTCCTAGAAATGAGCAGTGTGATGAACACAATAAATGCACATGAGCGAATAAAAATTAAAAATCTATCCTCATTCAAAAATGAAAAAATTACATACAAAAACACTAAATAAAGAAAGGAACAGCGTGATACGTAAACAATATAAGATTTATAGAAACAGAGACTTAATTTATTGATGCAACTTGAAATATCAAAAGAGATCAGAAAAAACTAGTCATAAAATTTCAAGACACTCACAATAAATCTTTTGTGACAAGTTTCAAATGATATAAATAAAATTTTACCTGCAATTTGTTCTTCAGTGAGTTGATCGGCCATTTAGAATGTGGATGATCAAACAATGAACAGAAAGGGAAAGAAGAGCGTGAAATGCGCAAGAAATTGACAAACGAGATCTAATTCGCGAAAAGAACCGAGAAAATGAATTGATCGGTAAACCACGTGCAATTATCAACAGCAGTAATAACTCTGCGTAAACAAACGTTGACGCTTTTGTTTGTAACGAATGACTCCTCAGCGGATTCCTCAATAGCGTATGTTATATTTCAACTTAATAACCAAAATTTTCTGAGCGAGAAACTGAAATTCTATATAGTTACACTAATTTCACTAATTATTATGCAAAATACGGCATCATAAGGTCAACAACAACTATTAAGTATCATAGAGACCAGTCTCAGATGTAAGCTTAACCACAGCATGTTATAATGCGTGTGCTGAGCCGTACCTTTTTTGAATAAGTGCTTCAACTGAACCATCAAAATTGGCAAATATTAGAGAAGAATAAAAATTCTAGATATAATTGGTTAAAAAAATTCACAGTGTGATATTCGATCTATTCAGAAAAAGAAAAATCATAATTTCGAGAATGTTGATGCAGTCTAAACTAGCTCCATTTAAACTATGACTTGAATTACATGAATAATGTGTAAGCATAAATTAATGGCCAATATGGCCATACGCAAAGACTGTTGCCAGAACAGAAATCAGTGATGCAGATGAATTACAATGAAATAATTATTAAATGATCTCAGAAACCCATCAATAATTTATCACAATTTTTGACATTATGATCAATAACAAGTTAACTTACCTGATTATTACATCACAAAAGTTACTGTCATTATTATATTCCTGTACGAAAACTAACCTGATGACAGCAAACTAGAATTGAAATTATAAGGAAACAAACTAGTACTAACACATGATAACTACCAATTGATAATCACAACAAAACAATATTCAATACTTCCTAACTAGCCATGAAGACGAATGAACTCTTCCTACATCCAGTACTCTTTCTTCTGCTACGACTAAGTCATGTACGTTCAACCAACTACTTTTTGAAAAATTTGAACTTTCCTTTTCCTTACAATAAATACTTAATCACCATTTCATTTTCATCTTTTTACAGTGAAACACCTTTTTTAATTTACTGATTGATAGAGAAAGGAACTTTATTTTAAGATAACTTATCAGAACGCACAATAATTTTGAGTCAACTTTATTCTCAACTTAACAAATTTACCTACCACAAATAACATTTAATGCACTAAAAACGTAATGAATGAATCTTTGTTATACAGCCGTTAAACATTAAGATAAAAACCTTATCATGCAAGATGATAAGCCCAAGTGCTTATCATTTAGCATCAGAAGAAATTAATCTGAAAGCAAAAATGCATAGTCGAACAATCATCGCTGTATTGTACGACAGTGTTAAAAAAAGCAGCATCAAAATTAATAACCCTCTCTGCGGATTATGTCATCTACCTCGATTAATTTGCAATGAAAAGAGGAATCATTATAAGATGGTATCCATGTGCATGTGAGATGAGCATGGTAGTATAACACCACATTACACCTCTGATATTAATGGTTTCATTTTTTTGTATTTACTATTTCTCTTTCCGTATTAACTGCTGTAAAATTTAGGAGCACTAACGGTGTAATAACGGACAAAATATTTAAAACTATCTTTCTACTTGACCCATCATATAACCATACCACATAACAAGTTAAGAACTACCTAAACAACTAACTTTAAGTGAGATTTTCATCATTTCATTCTTTTGCAAAGTTAAAGTTTAAGGAAGTGCAATCAACTAAGCCCCAGTATTATTAAATAAAACTTTCTTTTAGCGTGCAAGTTTGATTCCAAACTAAAGCAAAAATAATGAAACAGACTATAAACACTTCCACATCTAAATCTGCAAGCTTAAAAAGTAATTTAATGTCCTTAAATTCGCCTCAAGAACGAAAGGCAAATATAAAACATGACTGACTGACTGACTGACTGACTCATCTAAAATTACCTAATATTGACTCACCATGCAGCACGTACATTTTAGCACATTATTTCATCCCTGCAATAGTAGTAAATGGTAAATACTGAAAAAGAGAAACTCTCTCACAGCTCATAGAAATATGCAAGCGAAAATCGATTAAATGAATTTCCTTCTGCTTCAAACTACTTTTTAAAATAAACAATTTAATATAGCAAGTACTGAAATTAAGGCTACCTGAAACTTTGAGGAACGCACATTGCTTAAAAGACTAAACAAAAACCTTCCAAGAACAAACCAAATACTAACTCATGCAAACAGATTCTTCTCTAAGTTAGCAAGGAAACATCATTCTTGATCGACTTCATGTTACCGAAGAATTCAAAAACAATCAACGACTTTTTCAATTACTAATTTACCTAAATGATAGCAAAAGAAACTGCGTACTGAAAACAAAATGAAAATATTCAAGAAATGTCACTATCAATTGAATTTTGGTAATGAAACGTGGGAACACGTCAACTATCGTTTAATATTCTTGCATAAAGTGAAATGTTAACTATTATCAGGAAGTTGGAGCAATAATCCCACATAACTCTGCTCAACTTCCAATATATTTCTGAAAATCGAAAAATAAAAACTGCTGAAATGTAACAGTAAAAGAAATTTAAAAAACAAATTAAAACGTTATAAAGACTTTAAAATTCACCAAAATGAAGTGAACACGAAACAAAATCTATCAGTGAGAGTGAAAGTGTAAAAAACAGGAACAAAATGTTCTAAGCCAGTCTATCCATCCTGCATTCCCCGATCTATATCTGTCTATCTATTTATCCATCTATCTATCTACTTATCTGTCTATCTATACTATCTACCTATCATCTGTCTATCTATCTATGCATTTATCCATTCATTGTTTCCTTCAGTTCCTTATCACCCATAATGCAAAACAATTTGAGTGAAAGCCTGAAATGTAGTACATTTACTTATCATACATCAGTATATGCTTCATATTTAACACCACTGACTACACTTTAGTTGGAGATATCTTGAAAATAAAATAAACAAAAATCTGTGAAAATACAACTCATCCTTAATACAAATGAGAATCACAGATCAACGCACAGATAGCCTAAATAAGAATTTTTTTTACAATCATTTTAAAAGCCTAAGCCTACTTTTTCTTCTCATTCACGTACATTTCAAATCATGCACTAAAGGAAATATTATATTATTGTCAACCAATTCCGTACAATTACTACACATAGCTACCAACGGTAAATACAAAACCACAAAAAGCGTGCGACAATACTTTGTAGTTGTTATTATGCTTCCTGACAAATTTAAAAGTCAGCTAAAGGTATTTACTTTATTTTCACATTACACACTTACTTAGTGCCTAATTCTCAAAACTAACAATGATCAAACACATCATTCAGTACTCATCAAATTTACTTTATACTCCATTTGTCACATCGATTCTACATGAATAAACAGAGAAACTTTGTATACCGCAGATGGAAGTTCATGAAATCAATGCTTCTACATTAATAATAACATTACCATACGTAATAATGATTTGCATATTTTTAACGAGTACTTAATTGTTTGCACACTTGTTTTGATTTAAAGCAACGAAAATTCTGCCACCATCTGTGAAGCAATTAAGGCTTGAAGAACTCAAAAGCTGATGCAAGAAAAAATTGAGGGCATTTGTTATTTGCTCGAGAAAAGCCCTATAATCGAGACTATTCCCCAATGATTTTGAATTTAACACATATCTTTTCCTTCAACAAACCATGAAAACCAACCCAACTAACCAGCCAACTCAATTTTGCAGCATACCAACAATTTTTACCATTTTCAGGCCTATTTAAATTACATTTATTTGCATTCAATTTATGCAAATATCTTATCGTCTTTTCTCATATGAATCCTACGTCGTCTAATATCACTAAATTGACCTTTGGATAAATTAACTGCAAGTTAAGGCTAAATATAACTCAACACGATTAGACTTAGCGTGATCGTAAAATAGAGCTAGTAGAAATGAGAACATAAATACGACTCTTTAGTAGATAAAAATTTATACGAAATCTAACCACATAACTGAAAGAGAGGGAAAATTTGCAATGGAAATACAAAAAGGTTACACAGACCGCAACTCTAACACTACTAACATATATCCATCACATAATTGAACACCATTAAAGTGAATATGTCAAGCACACACTATATACCTAAAAAAGAAAAAGCAAGTTTAAATATACGTGAAACATTAAAAAAATTTCATCCATTTTACACGCAACAAAACGTAACGTGCGACCGGTAGCAAGAGAATAGATACTGACAAGAAGACAAAACAAAAGATACCCATGCCTGCAGCAGAGAAAAAGAGTAAAAGAAGGAAGATATTCAATTAATTTGGAAAGGGAGGAGGTGAAGTAAAAAGAGAATTAGAGTGTAACAATAATTGACAGATGCTAGACGAAAAAGCTATTAAAACACTATGGAAATGTGAGAAAACCATTGATTAAGAAAGAAATAGAGAACATTTTCTGACGCACAATGCGTCGTTGCTATGGTGATGGCTCGTTATATTTTTGCTTTCCGTTAGGAAATTGGAACAAACAGACGGTGAGGGTAGCGTCAA